CGCCGCCGTCACGGGCAGCTCCTGCCCGGCGCCGCCGTCACGGGCAGCTCCTGCCCGGCGCCGCCGTCACGGGCAGCTCCTGCCCGGCGCCGCCGCGGCCACACGCTGCACCGCACACCCCAGGATGTGCCCGACCGCACAGGGCTGGGTCCCAAAATGCTCACACTGGAGCACCCAGCTCCATGCAGTGTCCCAGGTGTGACCATCCTTGGGTCACTGTGACCACGGCCCTCGGAGCCCTCCCAGTCCCATCCTGCTGCAGCACAGAGCACCTGGACAAGGGCACCAGGGAGGACATCGGGCAACTTGAGCCCTTTGGGTCAGTCCTGCTATTCCGGGCACATGCTCTTGGGTGCCAGCAAGCCATGGGATGGAGAGGGCCCCCCCAGCACCCCAGGCAGCCCCCAGGACTCACCCTTGGAGCAGAGCCCTCGGCGGAAGAACTCGCAGGCGGCCGCCCCCAGCTCTGCAGGCAAGAGCAGGGCAGGGGCAGCGTCACCAGCAGCCCCGGTACCAGCACAGGGAGCCCCAGTACCTCCATGCACCCCCTCTGCCCATGCCAGGCACAAGGACAGCGGCGGGAGGCGCAAGGTCCTGTCCCCAACTTACTGTCCATACCCGGGAAGGGCAGGAGCCGGGCTCCTCTCTGCTGCTCCACATCGGTTTCCAGGTCAAACCTGATCTTCTCCACCCCAGCCACCAGCTCCTGCATCGTGGCCGTCCCTGGAAGCGCAGCTGAGCCCTGGCACAGAAGGGCCACGAGGTCCCTGCAGCCTCACCCAGCAAGAGGCACCAAAACCAGCCCAGCCACCCTGCACAAGCAGCCTTCTCCTCAGCCCCTGCCCAGAGCCTCTATATGGGGAGGGGAGCTGCTCACACCTGATGTGGATTTGCGGCCTCCATTTAGGGAGTGGAGCTGCTCACACCTGATGTGGATCTGCAGCCTCCATTTAGGGAGTGGAGCTGCTCACACCTGATGTGGATCTGCAGCCCCCATTTAGGGAGCAGAGCTGCTCACACCTGATGTGGATTTGCGGCTTCCATTTAGGGAGCAGAGCTGCTCACACCTGATGTGGATTTGCGGCCTCCATTTAGGGAGTGGAGCTGCTCACACCTGATGCTGATTTGCAGCCCAGCTGCAGGCGCTGAGGTCCCAGTGCTGCCCCCATCCCACATTACTCCCTGTGCTCAGCCCTCATCCCCCTGTGCCAGGGCTGGCTCCGAAAGGAGGCTCCGGATCGGAGGCGGGCACGGCCTCGGTGCAGAGCGTGGTGGCCCTGCTGCGATGGGATGGCTCCATGTGTTTTACCCCTGCGCTCCGAGCATTGCCACTGTTATCCCTGGCTCTCCTGGCCCCCCTGGAGCCGCATCCCGGGTTCCCGGCGAGCACCGGCCAGGCAGTGATGGCATCAGGGAGAGCCCCTGGAGGAGCCCAGGCGCGCGGCCCCTGTGCCCGGGGCTGGGGCTCTGCTCCCATTCTGTCACTAGCGATAAACCCGCTGGACCGGTGCCCGTCACTGCCAACAGGGCAGCCCGCGCCGGCCCCGCCAGCGGCACACACTGCCCCCACATTGGGGCAAGAACGGGTGGTATCGGTGCAGAGCAGCCAGGCCGATCCCCCAGCCCGGCTGCAGCCAGGATGACTCCCTCTTCCCACAGCCGGGCATTGCAGGAAGCTCGGCAGGGAATGCAGCAGGGACTGCAGCCGCTCCGACGGGATTCCCAGCTAATCCCGCTGCCCCGCGCGCTTTCTGCCCCGTCGGCTCGCGGCACCCGCTGCTGCCGAGCGGGAGGCTGGAGCCGACAGGCGTCACAGCGATGGGGACGGCCGCGTGACGGCCCAGGGCGGCCCCGCCGCTCCGCCAGCAGCCCCGGGGCCTCGTGCCACCACGGAGAGCAGCCGGGTGGCCTTGGGGACGCGGGGGGCGCCGGGGCGGGAGCGCAGCGCCCCAGGGATGCGGGGCCGCGCCGGGGTGTTTTCCTGGGCCGGGGAGAGCGGAGCCGGCGCGCGGTGAGCTCAGCCCGGGAAGCGCCCGGCCGCAGCTGCTGTTGTTCTGCGGGGACAATAGCGCAGTGTCCCCCGCCGCGGGCAGCCCCCATTGTGCCCCGCGGCGGCGGAAAATCAGGACGGACAAAGTCCCGAGCGGGGGCCAGGACAGGCCCCTCACCGCCGCATCAGGGCTGCCGGTGTCACCCCCTGCGCGGCGGTGGCAGCGGGACGGGCGGCGCTGGCCTCGCGCCCGTGGCTTTGGGGACGGCCAGTTCTGCCCCGCGCCAGGCGGGGGGCCTGGCAGGGCCCAGCCTAGCACAGCCCGGCCTGGCCGCGCGCCCCCAGCCCCGAGCCAGATCCGGGCAGCGGGAGCGCGGCCGCTTCCGCGCGCGGCTCCGGGCGACGGTGCCCGCGGGGGCTCCCGCAGCGCCGGCCGGGCCGCCCGCCAGCCCTGGCACCGAGGGGACAGGGCTGCAAGGCACAGCGTCCCGCGGCGGGTGGCAGCAAGGATGGAGCTGCACACGGGGCCGGGAGCTGCCGCTCCCATGGGAAGCTCCTGCTCCACGCGGCAGCCGGAGCGGCACGAGCAGGGCGCCAGTCGTCCCTCCCCGCCGCCTGTCCCCCAAGGACACAGGCCACCGCTGTCACTACCGTTTCCTTTTATTCTTTGCAATTTTTGTACATACAAGGTATAAAACCCTCTGCTTGCATCCGGCGGCAGCAGCCACCCCGGGGCTGCACACATCCCACCCGGCAGCAGCGCTTCCCTGGCTGGGGGGATCCCAACGGCACCCCCGGCATCCCCGGCCACCCGCAGGGATGCAACTGGGATGCACCGGGACCGGCGGGAGCCCCAACAGCACCACAGACCTGGGTGCTCCCCAGCTCTGCCCAGCGCCGGGCACTGCTCCGAGCCCCATAGGGACCCCAATGGTTAAACCCCAAAAGCAAAAGGAAAGAGTTAAGTACAAATCAGACCAGTAAAAATTGTACAGGGAGGGGACGGGGAAAATGGAGAATATATATATATATATATTACGAAAGGAGCTAAAAGGTTGAAGCCTCGTTGTGTTTGAATCTATATTGCTCTACAGCAGGGGAAGAAAAAATAATATGGAGCCAATATCCAAAGTCCAACGGAAAGACGCAGGATGGAGTCGGCTCCCCTGCCAGGGCACGCCAGGGCGGGAGCCGTGGGCAGCCCCGGGCGCGGGGCCGCTGCGGAGCCCGGCGTGCCGGGAAGCGTCGCCGGGAGCCGCAGTCCCAAGCAGCGGGAAGCGTCGCCGGGAGCTGCGCCCAGGAGCGGCGGAGCCCTGCGCTCGCGGCCGG